TCGCGCTTCATGTGTACCAATCGGACCGTCTGGAAACGTTTCTTCAGGGTTTCACATTCAGCTAGTCTCCGTTGTAGATTAGGTTGATTACAATTAATCAAACCCTGGACCTGTTGAATCACAATTCTCGAGTCACCCACAACGACTATGTCCTGAATCCCTCTTTCATTGTAAGCCCTTTAAGCAATCTGAAATATTCCTTGACAGAGACTCCATCCAGTATATATCCTCGGGTATCCAAAACTTTCCATTCGGGTAGCTGCCACAGAATGCATCCGCAGCTGCCCTTCCTCGTGGAAGTTTTGGCCGCACCATCGAAACTCAGGACTACTCCGGAGTACTCTTCTGAGAGCATTTCAACACTCACGACTGGAGGCGGTTTGACACGCCCCTTGGCTGGGATGAGTACTTCGGCGACTTTATCTAAGTGCTCCCAGGGAATGATACCTGCACCCATAATGGCGGCTAAACCATCCTCATCTCGAGAAACCTTCTGAATTTCCAAGTTGTACTGTGAGAGAGCAACGCCCCATGGCACCAGACGGTCTTCGGCGGTCTTGGAATTGATGACCCACTTCAACACTGAATGTCGAGTGTAGATTATCAACGGACATCCTTCGATCAGATTCTTGAACACATGGAGAACTCGCATCACAGCGAGGACTTCCTTCTCAGCAATATGATACTTGAGCTCGGCTTCATTCAGGACGCGCCCCGTGAATCGAACAGGCTGAACAAGTCCGTCATGTATCTGTCCCAGAACTGCGCAAGCAGCCCACTGATTCGCGTGAGGGATGATCACGAAAGGTTTCGTCCGGTCCGGATGCCTGAGCAGGGGAGTAGATACGATCTTCCTCTTCAGGATCTCAAACGATTCCTTCGCTCGAGACAAGTCTCGCCTTGCGCGTACTTGATCATCTGTCAACTCATAGAGTGAGGCAGCTACCACGGCATAATCCTCAATGAATTTTGTGGTAGTAAATCAGGCTACCTAGAAATGACTGGACTCCTTTCAGGGTAGACGGAAATGGTAACTCCTGAATGCCTTTCACGATTTTCGGGGTGGCACGTATCGCTTCGGCACCGATCTCGTGAGAGAGGTACGGTATGACACGTTTCCCGAACTCGCTTTTGGGCAGGCTGACTGAGATATTCCAGTACCGTAACCGATAGAGCAGTGCATCCAGATCACCGATAGTTGATCCCACGTGGCCGCCCCATGCGCGATGTCGTCGATATACGAACTGCGCCCCAAGACTGACCCCATTTGGGATGGTGCGGGGATATTGCGTCTGAAAACCGTCATTTGCTCCACGAGCGGTGTCATACTGCGTTCCACATCCATTTCATCCCTAGGCGACTGAGGGTCCAACTTCAGGTAGTCTAGCACATCCTGATCCACAAGTGCTTCTTCTTCGGGTGATAGCCTCACGAATCCCCACAGGCAATTGTTGATCATATGTTGGTAAATTAGTGGGGCGTTATTCAACCCGAATGGCATACGTACCCATTGGAAATGCCCGATTGGGCAGGTGAATACCGAGATCAGTTTAGCCCTCTTGGTCATTCGGACTGCCCAGAAGCCACTCGCCATATCGAGACTCATAAACCACATCATTCCTTCGAAACCAGTAATGAGGTCATCAATCAGCGGTAGTGGGTAGTTCGACAATTGAATGAAACTATTCACGACTCGATAGTCGATACACATTCGAATGTCCACTCCATTCTTCTTGAGTACGATCACAATTGGGGATGCCCATGGCGATTCAGAATGTTCGATCAGCGTAGCTTCCAGGAGATTCTTCAGCAACTTGTACGCCTTGATTGCCAAGTGTGGACCGACTGATCGGGGTCGTTGGGCAACTGGCCTGGCATCACCCACATCTAAATCACAGATGACGCCCCTCGCCGGAGGCGGGGCAGCATTTCCGTCACCTAAGAAGATCTTCTGGTGTCTTTTCAGGATGGCCTTCAGCTGCCTTTCTTGAGCCTCCGTGCTCTCGCCAGGTTCTCCAACGTCAGCAGCTTCGATGTCACCTTCAGGAGAGAGATCCTCCAAATCAGGTAGCATGACCAACTGATCACTGAGACATAAGCTCACTCCCTTCCCGAATGTAAACCGCGGGTTCCAAATCGAGTTCTTCGGCGCTCACTCGCATACACCTGGCATATGCCGCATCAAGTCTTGTGAGTGAGTGGTGTTCCAGGCATGGCGGGAGAAGGTAACCCGAAATCCTCGTCTTCCACGCTTGGGTCATCCTGGAATGTGTCGCATTCGGATTCCTGAGGCATTTCATCAAAGACTTCTTCACAGGATCCCGAATTGGCAACCTCTCCGCCATCCTGGGTGTTGACATCCAGGGTGACAAGTTCAGGCGAAACTTCGACAGCCATGAGTGCGCGGATATCCCAGTATTCACGTCTTCGTATGGTATACCCGTACATCAAAATAGATTCTTCATCCAGAAGACCTACCATTCCTTCACGAATACCTAGGCGCACTCCAGCACTGAACATGAGATCCATTCCTAAGAGTACATCCACTCCTTCTCCGATGTTCGTTACCTAGACATCCATGACATACACAACTCGCCATCCCAAAGTGATGTTGATCTATGCACTCGCTCGAACCACCTACTCCTGACACCTTGATCCGATTCTGTGAATTTAACTTGATTTTGATCCTACGCGCAAGATCCAAACTGATCATACTCACAGTTGCTCCGGTGTCAAGTAATATCTGCGTCCTGAAATTGTTCACTGCTCCATGAACCGTAACACACTGACGTCTTTCCTTTTCACGATCATTCTCGACCCACCAACCATATCGCTCCCCGGGGTTTAACTTGAATTCAGATTTACCTTCGGGTTCTGGAGGCAA